CTACCAGAGCGACGACGGTGAGCGACCCAGGCCCGGTGGGAGGTCACCACCCTCCAAGTCCCTCGGTCAGCCCCGAGTCGCTCCGGATCCCCAAGTCCGAGGTTCAGCCAGCAGAGACCCTTGACCAGGAAGTGATGCAGGGAAGCTGACTGGGATTTGGATTCAGTTTAGGTTTAAGTCCTCCTTCTGGGCTATTCCAGGTGGGCGGGGCTGACCTGTGGGCAGGGCCGTTGGGGGCGGGGCTGGCGTTGGGGGCTTGTTTGTGGGCCGGACTATGTGGGCGGGGACAGGCTCCCACATCTTCCAGCATTTTTTGGCTGTGGTGTGGGGCCTGATGGGCACCTCCTCCGGGGGTACTATCAACACGCCTAAGATGGCAAGGATTACATCGCTCTGAACCAGGACCTGCGCTCCTAGACCGCGGGAGACACGGCGGCTCAGATCACCAAGTGGGAGGCAACTAGTGACTCAGAGCTGTACAGGGCCCACCTGGAAGAGGAGCGGACTGTATTGTAAAACTGACTGTATTATAAAACACATGAATGAGGGTCATATACATAGGGATCTGATTCTCAGGTGTCAGAAAGGACGGTCCCTATAAGGACAGACGCTCCAGGCAGGCAGTTGTTCAGTCCCTGAACCTCCTGTCCTCATACCTTCTGACCCTTCCCTGAGTCTGCAGTCAGTTCTGGAGGCTTCCTGGGCACAGAAGTTCCCTGGTCTTACCAATTTTCTTCTCACAGGTGGAAAAGGAGGGAGCTATGCTCCAGGTCAGTGTGCGGAGAGGGAGGATATCTGAGGCCCTTGGGGTGGAGATGGATCCCATGGGGAGTCAGCCAGCCCATAATTCCTCCTCTAGACACATTCTCTTGGGTTCTGAAGATTGTCCTTCTACTGCAGACGGTGGCACTGCCCAGAGCTCCGACCTGTCTCCTGAGGCTTGTGAAGGTGACACCTCAGAGCCTGGATAGGGGGTGGTCAGAGACAGGACTGGGTCACAGGGACTCTCAGAGTTTGGACCTTTGAGT